TTTGTCAGATATTATAGTATAATATTTAATATAATTTTTGCATTAAATTTACTTCAAACATTTACTTTTTTTTTAGTTATACAAAAGTCTTGGTTAATGTAAAAAAAAGAATTTTAAAATAACATTTATACTTTTCCATCATATATTATAAAAATAACCATTAAAATAATGAGAATTTTCAAATATAATAACCATTATATTTTTTAAAAATGTTTCTTGTTTTAGTTTTAAAAATTTCTTTATTCAGATTCAGATTATTTTTTTGGATATCAGATTTTTCTCAGATTCGAATATGGTAATGGTTATAACAGATTCGATCGGATATCGAGTCGGATTCGGATATAATATATTGTTATTGGAATTGGATTCGGATTTACCATGATCCGATCCAGATTCGAACCATTGATAGCCCTACCCCTTTGGTTTCTATTTTGCTCAAGTGTAAATGTAAGTTTTTTTTTTTTTTGTGGTTTAAAACTAATTTTGATCAGAATATATGATTGTTTCTCTTCAAATGTGTATTTTTAAAAAATTAAAATTAATTTGATTTCACGAATAAGTAAGTGTTTTATTATACTTATTCATGCCTATTGATAAATATAAATTAAGCTTTAATAAGAAAAATACAAATTAATAGTTAATTAAAAACTCAAAATATTTATTAAAAAACCCATTTTCTAAAGGTTTAGATAATTTTATTTGGCACCCTTGTTGAAGACTCAAGATATACTAATTGAATTAAAATCTTAAATTAACTTTGAAATAACAGGGAATTTGTTTTTATCCAAAAAATTATTGCCATCACATAACTAGGAATTATCTTTAATCTTACCCTTTCTACTTTCTACATTTTCATCTTGGGTTATAATTATCTTTTTTTATTAATTATGTAAGTTTGTACTACAAACCTAATAACAAGAAATTAAAAGAATTTTAGATATTATATCAATTTATTTTATATCATTTAACTAATTTCCTCTATTATCTCCCTATTTATTTTCCTTATTTAACCACCCATTTGTAAGAATCTTCATGCACTAGTTTTCTTTTTCCTAATTATCCACCTCTCTCTTTCTCTCTCTATTAATAAAACCACAAATTATATATATATATATATATATTTATAATTAAAAATTAAACATATAAAATTTTTTGACATAATTAAAAAGGTCAAAATCATGGTTAAGATTAACAACTTAATTTAGTGCTTACGGAAACAAATTATGCACTATCCCATTTGGAAACGCATTAAGTAGTGGACCACATTTATAAATTTGTCAAAAAGAAAATTGTAGTCGACTAATTGGTTAAAATTAGGCACATTAATTATGTTAAATTCGGAAAGAAGTCTCCAAAAAGTCATAATTCACATTTTGCCCCTGTTTATTTTGTGTGCTAAACCAAATGTAGAATAGAGTAGCCAGGAGGGCATCTAATTCGCAGCGTGCAAGTGGTTTTCGGGGAAACAAATTGATTCGTGCAGGGGAGGCCTTGGTGCCTAAAGGCATATTCCTCGTACCCTGTTGCAGTTTATCGTTCATTTGGACGATGACCCCATGTGGCATTCTAGTTTTGCTATCAAGGGTAGTTTTTGAAGTTTCCAAGTTCAGTTTTTTTCTTAATATTTTTTTAAGTTACGTATGACATGATAAAAATAAAATGTAATAATTAAATATGATCGATTATATAAAAATTAGAATACTAATTATCAAAATATGCATTTCATGAAATCAATTACCCTGAACCAATCTTATTCAAGATTGTAAATTTCAAATTTGTCTATGAAGAGTGGATCTAATTATATTAGTGTTTATAATTGATTTCTTTTGTGTAATACTAATTAATAGAGCTTTGTTGATAAGTGCTACAAGAACTCATGGTTATGGACTCGAATTCATTGGCATGAAACATTTTTTTTTTCCAAGTGAAATTCTCTACTATATGAAAAGTTGAAAAATGTGCTTTTATACCCAATTATATTAAAAAATATGCCAAAGCATATTGCACCAATAAGATTTTTCAATTTAACTCCTCTTTAAACAATTGACACGTAGATGAAACAGTGGATAATCCGAAAAATGGTAAAAAATAGAATAAGGATCTTATCATATTTATAATTTTTATTCAAAGAATTTGAGGTTACTGAAAATTTTTCAATTTATTCTTGCAAACTAAAGAATAAGGTTAAATTTAAATAAGAGTGATTTTTAACCCATTAAATCATCTTAATATAAAATAAGCTTAAAAGATATTAAATCATTCCTTCAACCAATTTAAAAATAAAAATTTAATTAGAAGAAACTCAATAACAAGAAATTTATAACACGAGAAAAGAATTAAAATTTTTATAAATACGTGGGTGCACGTGATTAAAAAAAATTTATTATTCTATGATTGTTGATTGTATATAGTAGATTAATTTGACTCCGACAAGTTTCTGCAAAACAATATCTATTCAGAAATTGTTGGTTAAGGATGTTGGCGGTCTGTATTATTACTTTGGAGTTGCTGTGTGTGTTCAATCTCGAGTCGCATGTTTCTATTAGCATCAATGTGAGTTAAAGCAAGTGGTCTCGGGATTCGGTGTTGCTTTTTGGCAGTTGGGTGATCGTTCACTCGGTTTAGAATTTGATGGGATAATGGCAGTGGTTTGAAAATCGGATGGACAGGTTAATTTAATCGATTTGATTAAAAATTGACAGACTTTTCAAGTGGATTCAAATAATAAAATTATTTTATTATTAAATTGAAAAAAATTAATTACAAGATTGAAAAAATTAATTTATTAGTTTAATCAACTATTTTCTAAAAAATATAAAATAATATTATTAAAAAATGTATCTTTTTCAAGTAATTTATTTTATATTTAATATATAACAATTCTTGTATATTATTATTATATATGATTTAATGTTATATATTTTATTTTAAATTTTTCATTTATATTACAGTATTTAGACCTTTAAACATTCACTATATTTGATGTTATACTAGTTAAATCAGTAATTAAATTAACTGAATTGATAGAACTTGAAATTAATAAAATTACCAGTTTGATCTCCAATCATTTTTAAAAACATTTTTAATTTTTTGGTCTAACTATAAATCTAGTCAAAGTTGTCTCCGGATACAAGTCTAGACCCAAGAGACATATCAATAGCTCACAAATCATCCCGAAGCCTAAGATTGACAACATCCACACAACACCAACAGATATCACAACCTTAAATTAAACCCAAATTGGGATGTGGTAACCGTTAGACTAACTCAAGTTAAATCTAAAGAATACCCAACATAACAATCTCAGAGAAATGAAAAGTATCCCTACTTATTTTTCAGAGTCTGAATGAGAGACCAACTACACCCCTTTGGCTTCACCTCTTCACCTCGCAGATGATGTAATAACCCTCCTTTTATTTATAAAGGTTTTAAAAAAAAATGTATATTAATTTACCTCTATAATAAAAGCCAGGTGATGGTTCCATTTTACTTCAAAATTTAAGTCATATTTTTTAAAATTTAGTTAACCCTTCTTATTTTTAAGAAAATTTAGATTATGAAAAACAAATCATAATGTCAAACAAATACTCAGTTTCACAATTAATACTATTATTGGAGTTCATCAACCCGCTCAATCCAATCCTACTTGATCCTATATATGTAACTGTTACAGATATTAAATGTAAATTTGGAACTCAATACCTAATGAAAATGGTATAGTACTTGGGAAGTCCAGCTTAAGATTATGAGTTGTGAGATCCTGTCGTACATTGATTTCTGATAGTAATATAATGTAATATATAATAAATTAGAGAATACTACTGAATAATTTAAATTTAAATATTTTAAACTAGTGGTTCAAGTTGAACAAATTGTTAAAATTAGTAATTTTCGGGTTATTATAAAAATAGAGCATGACAATTAAACTTATTAAGTTAGATTTCATTCTAAACTTAACGCTGGTCACAGATCCAATGCTCAGATAGTGACATGATTTCGATTCTTAACCTCTCCATCATTTCTTAATTGAAGCAACTGATTAGTTTAAATTTCTAATGTACCAAGGAAAAAAAAAAAAAAACAAGTAAGGATATTTGATTATTTAAAAACAAACCTAATGGATACAGTTTTGATTTGGTTGAAACTGCATTAATCAACTGGACTCACCTAAATTCAAAACAAGTGAAAGTTTGAACATTTGCTGGATTGATAAAATTATATTTTGATGGATGGTAGTATTACATTTTTAATCTCCTACTTTGTTTTTAATTGAGTTTTAGGTAAAATTAATATGAATATTACAAATTTTATTTTATTTATTAATTTTAAAATTGAAATTAAAATTTTAATTAAATATATTTTATTATTTGATAGTTAATATGTAGATATACAAGTTATTTAAAAATAAGCAAACCTTAAATTCGCAACATGCAAATAGAAGATCAATTAATAATTTTTTTAAAAAAAATTGAGACAGTAAATATAACTATAGTTATTAAAAAATAATTAATAAAACCTTATTTTCAAACATCCTATTCCTAACCTCACATCTTTGATGCTTAGAAATTCACCAAAATACTCTTTCTCGTACCTCCATGGCAGAGAGCGTGCATGTTCATGCATATACAGAGGCGCGTAAGGATGAACTTTTGACCCTGAAGTGTTAAAAATATACAGTCAGAGAGAGAGGGCAGGAGCACTGCAAGACCAAGAAAGGAGGGAGAGAGAATAAATGACAAGAGGAATTTCTAGACTTTTAATTTGATGCAAGAGGGGATCCAGAAAAACCTTCTTCACTCTCATTTCTTCCAATACATACATATATGCACACATTCTAGAGAGAGAGAAAAAAAAAAAAACAAAATGGTCAATAATTAGACACTAGAGGGGTATAATCTCAAAGTCACACATGCATACACATCAGTGCTGGTATTTTCACATAAAAACATTAGAAATTAGAGATTTCTAGAGAGAGAGAGAGAGAGAGAGAGAGAGAAAGAATGGGGAGAGGGAAAGTGGAGCTCAAGAGGATAGAGAACAAGATCAATCGCCAAGTAACCTTCTCCAAGAGGAGGAATGGTTTGCTCAAGAAGGCCTATGAGCTTTCTGTCCTTTGCGACGCCGAGATCGCTCTCATCATCTTCTCCAGTCGCGGCAAGCTCTACGAGTTTGGTAGTGCAGGGTATAAATCTCTCTCTTTCTCTCTCTCACACACACACCCACTGCCTCCGGTGCAATTCTCCCCATATTGCCCCTATAAACATTGAAATTTTTGAATCGTTCAGATATTTTTTAAGTTTGATTTGGTACCAGAAACATTATATTAAAATAAAATGGAATTTGAAGTTGAAACGAGCAATATATAATATATTTTTTGTCTCTAGAAAAAATTTTCTGAGTCTGTAATTGGCATGCAACTCTTTCGATTCACCTGGGTTTTTTTTAGCAGGATTGAAAGAGTACATGTGATGATCTTGAGAAATAATCGATTCGTATGCTAGATTAAATGCGTGGCAGATGTTTGTTTCCGGAGTTGTATCTAGTTGAATAAATTCATCTTTGTTTAAAAAAAAAAGAAAAGAAAAGAAAAGATTGGTGACTTCATATTGACACACTCTCTCTCTCCTTTCACTTTATCTCTAACACTGGTGTATTTATGGTTGTATATTTTGTCTTTCTCATGATCTTCAACTTCTCGCTTTTAAGGCTTTCTTTCATCATTCCTAGATTGGCGTTGTTTCTCTCTATTCGGTTGTTCCAATGAAAAATGGACACGTTTCAGAGAGGATCAGAGAGTGACTGACTGCATTGTTCCATTGGACCTTGGTGCAAGATCTAGGGTTTTCCCTTTTCTTCCTCCTCCTTTCTCTCTCTAGAAATCCGTTTTGTCTTTGTCTTTGAAAGCTTAGATCTAATGGGTTCTTCACTGATTTTGCTCCTCCTCCTCTCGCTAAAACGCGAAATCAATCATGGGTTTTCCCTATTTATCCCTCATCCACAGACCCTTTTCATACAACTGATAAATACTAGGAAAAAAGCTCAACGATGCAGCCTAAGTAAGAAATTGCTAAGTGTAGGCCCCGAATGTGTTGCCGAAATCAGAAATAAATCTGGTTAGCTTGGGTTGGTGTAAGAAACTGAGGCAATATGAGCTTCAAACCATCCATTGGTTTCTCGCCGGTAATCTCTCTCTCTTTCTTTCTCTAAATATTTATGTGTGTGCATAAATATACAAAATCATGTGTCTTTGTATGATCCTGATAAATTTCAGATAAGTTTAGATTTGCTTTTGAAATTAAAAAAACCCGTTTGATATGTTACTTTTAAAATCTGTTTTTGAATTGATTTTCAGACCACAGCTTTTTTTCAAAAAAAAAAAAAAAAGACGAATTAATTTCAGAATTAAAAATAATTGAAATTTCCAAGATTTGTCTTTCTATTTTTGAAAATATAGAAAATGAAAACAGAAAAAAATATCTGAACCTTTTTTTCTTTTATTTTTTTGCCCCCATTTTTTCTCTTTTCTGCCAAGAATTTGTGTATTTGAACGTTTAGATCTGTAGCTTTCTTCATTGGTTTCGTCTCTTCTTTCCCCTCTTCAAGACTCAAAATCAACATGAGTTTTCCCCATTTACCCTTCTTCTATAAATCCCTTTCGTGAAAGTGCTAAAGCACTGCAATGGCAAAGGTGAGGGGGCTTTTCTATCAACTAAGAAGCAATTCAAGCTATCTGTGTTTTGCTCTTTCTCGCTGTTTTACTCTCTCTTTTATATGTATATCTCTATACGTGGTTTCCTTAATTTATATTACCCTGACAAATGTATTGGTTTTGTTCTTCGACATAGTTTTTTTTTTTTTTTTTTTGGTAGACAAAGGGGTCGAAACTCAAAGAAAAATGAAATAGTTTCTATGTTTGAAAAAATAGAAAGCTTGTCCGACAGATTGTTTTTTAAAATTGTTTTCTGTAAACTCTCTCTCTCTCTCTCTCTCTATATATATATATATATATATCTATTGTATAAATACATATATGTATTTATGCAAAGCATGGTTTCCTTCTTCTTCAGGATATTCCGAGAGATGGTTCGGATGAAGGTCAGTAGTAGGATATTGTGGTGTTTCGTTTTGCTATTTTCAGTTTTCCTTCCCGTCTGAGCAGAGAAAAAAATATTTGTCCGGTTTTGTTTTTAAAACTTTATTCTATTTTTAAAAAAATCTTCTGGAAGATTGTTTTCGAAAATTGTTTTTGAAAATTTTTAGAAAGCATACAATTTTTTTTTTAGAAAATAAACCAAAAAAAATTTCAGAATTTTCTGAAACTATTATGAAATCAATATATATAGAGAAAGAGACTCTTAATGTTTTCACTGCTTTCTGTTTCCAAAAACGCAGAAGAGACAAACAAAATACAAAAGACAGAAAATAAAACCAAACAAGAGTAGACTTTTTCTTGCTCTTCACTTTCTCCTTCTAATTTCTGCTCTTTTCCGGGTGCTCATCATCTCAAAGGGTGCCTGTGTTTGACATCAATTTACTTCTATACTGGTTTTTACTGACTTAAATTGTGTATGATGATATTATTTCACTAAAATGGAGAGAATAGAACTTTGACCTTCTGATTGGATCTGCTATAGAAATGACCAAGAAAGGAAGGATGGGAAGATGTTGTCTTTGCATAACTGTGGAAATTACCAAGTTGGTGAAAAAAAATAAGAAAAATGTATTTTTTGCTTGTAAATTAATATAATTAATATAAATATCATTTCATTTACAAGCTGTAGAAGTTAAAAACTTTTTCTAATTGTTTTTTTAAAAAATTTTCTCTGAAAATGTTAATTATATGCATTTTTTGAATTAATAAATTACCTTCCCTTTTATTAGGGATCTGAAAGGGTACAATTTCAATCTCATATATTGTTTTTATTTTACCCTAACAGCCTTTTAGCCTGTGGTTTTTAGTATGCTCTTACACCAGTTCTAAACATGTCTTGCTGTCACATTTTATACATACATACATACATACATACATATATATATATATATATATATATATACCCCAAGTGTTTTGTGGTCTATTATCCCATGGTAAATGCTGTATTCTTACGTCACTCTTTATCTCCCTTGAATTGGTAGATTAACTAGAAAATAAAACCTATGTGTGGGTATCATATTCTAATTTTTTTAATTTTTAAAACAAAATTCCAACTTCCTAAATAGATAAATCTGGGAAAACTCCAAAATTTGATATATTATAAAATCACAATTTTTTTTGTTCTTCAGAAAAAAGTTACGACAACTGTAGTGGAAAGCAAGATTCACTTTCTCTAGTCTAGTGAAATGCAAGGAGAAGTGTTGAATAGTCATTTTCTTCACATCATGGTAAAACTTTAAGTTAAACTTTGTGATTTATAACGCAACATAGAAGCATGGACATGGCTATTAAATGTGACCAACCTCAGTGTCATCCTGTCGGGGGATGGAGAGATGAAGTGAAATGCTTTGTTCCAACCCCACCTCCCCCACACCCCCCCCCCCCCCAAAAAAAAAAAAAAAAAAATTGTTCTATGATGAGATTTGTCATAGAAATAATATCTCATAAATTCTTATATTTGATGATAGAGACTAATATACTGAGCCAATTATTTTAACACTTGTTAAATAGGTATTAAATATTGATATTGGTTGGACGGATGATGGATGATAGAGACTTTAACCTAATAGCTTAGGACTCATAAATTGTTTTGAGTTGATTACTTAAATTGTTAGGTTACATTTCTAGAAACAATCAGTTAAGATTATCAGGGTAAAGATTATTTTTCCTTCTATGACTACAAGATAAAGGGGGGCTTCTTTTACTTGAGTTTGTGGGGTTTCATCACTGTAACTTCAATTGTTTTATTTGTTCTTTAATGCCACATGTCGCATCTTTATTGGGTGAAATTTTGGGACATGATGAAATAGTACTGTACCGTGAAACTAAAGAGTAAGTAGCATTCTTCCTCCTGAGAGAGCTTGTGAATTTGTACAATCATGTAAACCATCCAAGGCTGCCCCTGAGGTAGAGAATGCTCAAGGAAGAAAACCCCATGGCTTCTGTACGACTCCTGGACGGGAGCTTGTGCATTAATCTAGAGCTTGCTTTCCTTCATGTTTGCATTTGTATTTGGAGATTTTCTTAATTAAACAGGGCTTTGGTGATAATTAATTAAGATTAGTTACATGTGTGCCTTTCATTTGTAGGATGACCAAAACCCTTGAGAGGTACCAACGTTGCTGCTTCAATCCACAGGACAACAGTGTGGAACATGAAGCACAGGTTTGCGTTTTGTCGGTTGCTTCCAGTGAAAATAATTGTTTACCTCGGTTTATGCTAAATAATTACTCTACCTCATTCTTAATTAATGTTGCTAATTACATAATTAAGATAGAAATAAGATGGGTTAACTCATGGGAATTTTGTGTTTATTCGGATTCAAAATAGAGCTGGTACCAAGAGGTGTCCAAGCTAAGGGCAAAGTACGAATCCCTTCAACGCACTCAAAGGTTGTACCATCAACCCTGCTTTTCTGCATCCAGGTTTTTGAGTATTCTCGTTGTTGGCAGTAATGCTCTGTCGTTTTGTGATCAGAAGTTTACAAAGTTCTCAAATTTGGTAGTGTTTGAAATTTAAAAGAAATTATTTCTGTTTTCTGTTTTCATTTTCTATGCGATAGAAAATAGAAAAGTACTCAGAATTTGGAAACTGTACTGCTTTCATATGGCCTCCATGTTTAAGAATTTTAAGAATAATTTTTTTTTTTATTATACATTCCATCAGACCTGCTCTCTGAAAATTCTCTCAAAAACAGTTTATGAAAATAATCTACAAAATGGGTTTTTATATTTTCAAAAATTAAAAGAAATTGTTTTCAAAAAAAAATCCAAATAGACATTTTCTGAAGTCAGAAAGTTTACAAATTGTTTGCTTTTTGAAAAACCGAATACGTCCTGTGTCATATATATGGATGCATCATTTAATTGAACTTAAAATCTGGGATATATTGATTGGTGGCCCATTTTAAAGGTTAATTTGGTAATTTTAATGCCTGAAGGCACTTGCTTGGAGAAGATCTTGGACCATTGAGTGTGAAAGAGTTGCAAAATCTTGAGAAGCAGCTGGAAGGAGCTCTTGCACAAACTAGGCAAAGGAAGGTATTTTCACTACAGTTGTAAAGCAGCCGCTTTTCATTCATATAAATCAGTTTAGGGAGAGTTTGGCGGAACAAAAAGTCAGCTTTTAAGACTTTTACAATATGAGCTTCTTAATATTGCATTTGCTTTTTGAGGTAAAGCTCAAGATTCAGATTTATTTTCAAAAATAACCTATCATTTTGGGAAAAAAAAAGCCATTAGGTAGGTTGTTTTTGGAAACTATTTTTTTCTTTTTTGAAAACAAAGACATGTTCATTGATAAGTAAAGATCTGCACAATTAGATTTAAACAAAAAAGTAAGAACCACCTAGCATGTACACGCTTACACAACTGGTATTGGAAATAACTTTTGAAAACATATATATTTTTGTGAAACAATAGTTAATCCTTAAAACTATCTTTGCTGAAAATGAAAAGTTTATAAAGTTTTCAAGATATTCAGAAAACAGAAAAAGAAAAACACACATCCAAATAAACTTGAACAACTTTACACAACCATGGTCCCAATTTTTCAATCAAAAATATCAGTTCTAAGTGTTTAAGCAGCAAAATTAATAGCTTTTTGGTTTCTGTGTTTCTACCTTTCTGTTTTCGAAATTTGGAATCATCAAATTTAGCTCATATTCTACTTGAACTTGAAGGTGGAATGCCTACTCTCTCTCTGTCTGCCTGTCTGAGTTTCTTATCTTTAGGTTTCCAAAATCCAAAATTTCTCATCAAGTTTCTCTCTTATTTCTCAGAAAAAAAGTGAGTTATACAATTTAAGTAACATTTTTTTACTTTATTTATTTATTTTTGAAAATGCAGACGCAGATGATGATAGAGCAAATGGAAGAGCTGAGGAGGAAGGTAATCACATAATTTATCTAGCTTGTTTTTGTTTCCTTAAAGTTTCATCAGTCTCAGTTTTATTTGGGTTTGACTTAGGAAATTAATCCAGAATATTGAAAATGCTGAGGTTTTTCAAAATTATTTTTTCACATTTTTTGTAATTTGGTATCAGAAAAAAAAAAAGCTTCAAATTTTTTCAAAAATTAGATGAAATGGGTTTTTGGACTATGAGAAATTAGCTTTTTCCCTCTTTCACGAAAAGCTTAGAACTCATATACTTGAATTTTAAAAATAAAAAAAAATATAAAATCCAGGGTTTGGGAGACCAAATACCCCAAATGTCATATATTTTTCTATCCCTTTATGCTAATCAATAATTAAGTTTAGAAACATTAAAGTTATTTCATTTATGTACAAATGGAAAAATAAAATTCTAGATTTTATACAAGTACATATATCTCTAGTTAGATCTTTTGGACTACTTCACTTAATGTTTTTGATTTAAAAATATTTACAATTGAAATAGTCTCATTTTTCATAACTTAAATCCAAGGTTTAAGTGTCTAATTTCTCTCTGTATGTATTATACAACAGTGTTTTATTTTCTATAAATATGGAGTCTTATACATCTTATTAATTATAGAAAATTTTCTTTCTTTTTTCTAGTTTAAGAAACTACTCGTCGTTTTATCTGTATTCATCTAGTGAAATAGTCGTATTAGGTCAACTAAGTAAGTAATCTTGTTCAATTTTCAATATGAACTATAGATAAAAGCCAGTGTAAAAGTCTATAATAATAATAATAATAATAATGATAATGAAAACGACGACGACGAGTATGATGGTTTCTCTTTTGTAACTGGCAGGAGCGCCATCTGGGAGACATGAACAAGCAGCTCAAGCTGAAGGTTTCACTGGAGTTATCATCGGTACTCACTGCCCTTTACAAATTCATTAAAAAAATAAATTACCAGAATTTTCTAGAAAAATGTTTGGTTCAAATTCAACGGGTAAAATGGTCCCAAAAAATTAACTTTACTTTTGAACTATCTCTTTATGATACCCATAAAAAATTTAATATCAAAACGTCCTTGCACAGAAAGTCAAACGTATAGGACCATCAAGGTATATAATTAAATTGTTCATCATGTAAATGCAGCAGTAGGACGAAACCATTAGTATCCAAGGTTTAAAAAAATCACAAAATAATCATTTAAAATTTTTAAATATTCACTATAACCCCCTTCAAAATTAACTTTCTGATTTACTCCTGAATAATGCATACATCTACTGCTGATCCCATGTGGTATCCGTATGGCATGCGTACTTGAGTTGTACGTTAATTCAGCTGCAGGCAGAGGGACAAAGCCTGAGAACACTTCCCTTCTCATGGAACTCCGCTGCATCCGCCGGAAATAGCAGTTTCGCCGTCCACTTTCCTCACCGCTCCCATGGACTGCGACGAACCCGTCTTACAAATAGGGTAAATCCCTCCCCCCCCCCCCTCTCTCTCTCTCTCTCTCTCTATCTTATATATATATATATTGATTATCTTAAATTTAATCTAAATATGAAAAAAAATGCAGGTATCAATATGTTGGTGGGGAAGGATCATCTGTGCCAAGGAGCATGGGAGGAGAGAGCAACATTCTGCAGGGTTGGGTTGTCTGAGTTATTTCAAAGATACGTGTGATATCTCTCTATATATATTTCTACAAGGTTAATTTGTTTTTGGAGATTTCCGTCCATGTCCACATAACTTAATAACTTAAAACTCTGTTTTGCTTTTCCATTCCTCCGTGGGGATGGAGTACAGGCTGCATTAACATATTAGTACATGTATACATATAATGCTATGCATAAATTTTGTTTTCCTTTCTTTTTTTTTTTTTGAACAGAAGAAATTATTGGATTTTTTAATAGGTAAAAAATTTTATTTGCTTGTCAACCAATTTGACTATCTTAATTTGAAATTTGGTTTAATAATTGAAAATTCTTTTTGGGTGTAAAAATCTTCATTTTTTTGAGTTACATTGGAGGTTTAAGTTTAAGATTTAAAAGATTTAATTCTAATCACAATAGAAGAGTAAATATAATCTTTTAAATACCTATCTTTGATCATGTCAAGAAGAGATTTAGAATCTGTCTCAAATTAAATCTTCTTAAAATCCAGATTCTAGGCCATCCTTCTTTCCAGACTCCCCAAACTTACACAATAGAGGCATTCGGCAACATAGTACCAAAGTTGATCTTTAGGTTGTGAGGTGGAATCGGCCAACAAGCTGGGCTGATGGGCTTATTTGTCGACTAGAAAACACATTTAGGAGCGGAATATCCATTGGGCCGAGCCCAATACCTGGAGGAGACCCCATATTTTTCAACGACTTGACGGGGCGAGATTTGAATTGGCAGGGCCAGAGACCCACGATTCAACTCACTCAGGGCTTCTTGGCTGGATCAGTCAATATATTATCTCAGTCCACCAAAAAAAAAAAAAAAAAGGAGAAGAAAGAACTGTAAAAAAGGAAAAAAAAACTATTTTTATAGATTCTTCTGACTAAAAATAAATAAAATATATTCTCAAATAATATGTAGGTATTATGTATGTATATAAGTACGTATCATGTATGCATATATGTAAAAGGGGTGTATGTCTAAAAATTTCAATCTTTCGTTTTCTTTTTTTAATTATGGGATTTAGAACAAAGTATTCCTTTTACCTTAATAAACCAAAGGTTAAAAATTCGCAAATTAATTTTTTATTGCATTAAAAAATCCCATAAAAAATGTACTGACTATTGGGAGAAACTATCCAAACTAAATGGCCAAATTGGTTTTAACATTGCTTGGTTTTTAATTAAAAAATGATTTTGTCTGCTTTAAAGTTTTTGTTGCAGGACTATTTTTTTTCTAAATTTAATTAAAGATAATTAGAAGTTAAAGCACTTAAACTTTTATTTCTTATAACTAATTACATAATTATAAATAATTTAAATTTTTATTAGATAAATATATCTCAAACATTTTAATTAAAATCCTAATTTACCCTTACTTAAACGAAATTTATTTTATAGGTACAGATGCCATTTTTAAATGAATGAGTAATTCAAACATTTTAATATAGTAAATAATTAGTACACCTATTTTACTGAATGTTTCATTTAGAATTTTTTTTACTTTTCAATAAAATTTGTAAATATTCTTAATTTTTATATTTTCAATACTTTTTTTTACTATCTGTAAAATTAAGAATTTTTTTAAATAATAACTCTCACAATAAACTTTAAAATAATTAAGAGATTTACGTGGTTTGACAAAATTCTATTTATATAGAAAATGAACTCTTTTTTATGTCATTAAATTCCACAAAATGAAAGAAGAAAATTAAATTTTATGGGCAAAATTCAGTTCAAATTTTTTTTTTTTTTTAAAAAAAAAAAACCTTACAAAGCCTTAACTCACACAGAACAATTTTAAACCTGGGAATCTCCTCTGCTTGCACTCCGAGAGTTGTTACACACTTCCAAATGCATAATTGCTATCTACAGTACATTTAATAATTAGTTACATACGATGTAAGTAGATGGCAGTTCATCTCCCCAGACAACCAGCAGCGGGCTCCGCGTGACGATAATAGTTTTCGAGAAATTACAAACACCACCCTATACAGTTGTTAATTCTAAAACCTGCACGCTGGAATACAATTTTTGCGTTGATCATGGGCAATTTATATATATGATTGTGCAAAGTTTGTTCATATTATTATGAACTGGGGCAAGGACCTTCTCTGATCAATTGGGCAAAGCAAGGCGCTTCCCATGCTCCGGAGGGCCAATGAAGAGATCGGTCTCGATGTTCGAATTCTCATTACTTTTTGTGCACGGTATATTTTTCTTTTCTTGGTTTGATTTTTTCCGTGGACGTAAACCATACTGCCAAATCATATACAAACATTAGAAGTCTATTTGGAGTTGCACTATTTCCATTTTCTATGTTTTTGAAAATACATAACATTAATTTGAAACATTAAAAACTCTATTCTAAATTGTTTTGTTTTCCATGTTTTCAAATCAGAAACTCCAATACCCTCGTATAATTTTTAATCAAGATCGAGGATATTTCCTAAAACTAGCTCCAAAAACAGTTTTTAAGAATCAATTTTGACAAACATATTTCATATTTTTTTTCTAAAGTAAGGAAAAATGATTTTCAAAGACAAATCTCTAGAGGTCATAGATTCCAATGAACTAATTAAATCATTTGTTGGGCAAAATGGATTTTAATTTTTGGGTTCCAAACATAAATTAAAAAGGTTCAAGGTAGTCAAGAGAAAAACAAAAACCAAAAATAATTTTAAAAAAAAATTAGTCAAAAGGCATCACCTCCTCAGCTAGCTTTGCATTTTCAGCTCCTAGGATTCTCTCCTACAAAAGAACGAATCAGCAATTAGCCAAAAATTTCCTCTTAATGCAAAATTAATTAATTATTTTTTAGCATAAATTCCAATATCTGATCATTCAATAATAGGGGTGGCAATGGTGTGATTTGGTATGATTTGAAGGTGAAATACTAACCAAATTATATTTCACAGTTTGTCATTTTTTAAAAATCAAATTAAACCAAGATTCATGGTTTGTGATTTGTAAAATAAAGTTGATTATATTTATTAGTTTTACAAAAATTTCAATGAAATTTACCAAAAAATTGGATATCAAATTTTTTTTTAATCTACTTAATTTAACAAATTCTTTACTTATCAATTAATTACAACAGTTATATATTATACATCAAGTATATTTATATAGTGTAATAAAATTTAACATATTAATGAAAATTACTCTTTAAAGAAGAAAAGCAAGTAATTATCAGAAGAAATATGAATATAAAAGAAAATAAAAATAAAAAGTATGAAGTCAAGCAATGAACATAAATTATATATATAAAAAAGTTTGACTCAATACATAAATATAAATTATACAATTCAGTTCTATTTATATAATTTATTTAGAGATCAAACT